GAGGAGGAGGAGAAGGAGGAGGAGAAGGAGAAACAAGATGAAGGAGGAGGAGTAAGAAGAAGAAGAAGAAGAAGGAAGAGGAGGAGGACTATATTATTGCTACCAACATACTATCAGCTGCTGCCATTTCAGTGCTACGGAGTCGATTCGGACAAAAACAGCAGTCACAAAGTTGAACCTTTAATAGAAGTAGAAGAAGCAGAACACAGTAATGGGTATATTAATTACATTTAAAGTAGAAGAACAGGAGGTTGGAAGGGTAAGGGAGAGCAGCTACAGCAACAACTACAAAAAGCAAAAACTACAACAACAACAAAAACAACAGCAGCAGCATTAGGCCTTTAGAATTTATGACCGTGTATGACACGGTACTATTGGCAGTGGGTGGCCATTCAAAGGCCTGGAAAAAAGTAATACAAAGAAAGAAATGAAAGTAGACAGCCACACAAAAGCTCTGCTACCTCAGCAATGGTTTGGGTGAAGTTGGTTACATAATAATAATATATTATTATTATACAAAAGGACTTTGTGAGTACCAAAGGATGCGCCAACTTTCTTCAAGGTGCTTGGCTTGACAACTACTACTTTATTGAGTTTTCTCGACGATAGAAGAGCATGTCTGTCTCACTCTGTGTCCTATGGCTACAACAAGGCAATACGAAAAAAGTTACCATTGTTTTGAAAGAATCTACAATAATCGAATTTGGCTTGATCGCTTTCAAAACTTCTTACTGAGGCAAAGTGTCATGGTAATTGTGGTAGCATCGTGGTACGACGGCCTTCAACTCCAGTAGATGTTTATACTGGTTGGCAATTATCTTCAATCTGTCTTTGCAGAGAGGTCCAGCAGTAACCGTCGTACACAGGGTGTTCAGCTTTCTTGGTCCTTGCAGCGCCTGCCATCCATAATCAAAGTTCAGCTTGTATTGAATTTTAAAGACTGGAGTGTACTTTGATGCCTGCAAGTCAGTGACAGTAGGATCACCTGCTTTTCTCCCTGGACGGATTGTTTAGTGCTCTCCGACCTTTGCGAAATCTTTGAAAAAGCTGTGGTCCAGATACATAACTTCATAGGGCCTGGGGATGCGTCTGGCTTTGAGCATGATGTTCACGTAGTCCATTGGGATGTACATCAGTGCGTTTTTTAGCGATCACTCAATAGTGCCATGGACTGAATCCACTTCCATTTGGGTATGGCCCTTGAGGAGAATTTCTGCTCAATTGTGATGTCAAGCTCTTTGGCCAGCGAGGCCATTGCACTCACCAGGGTGGCTTTCTGTTTTAGTAGTTGCGCCAATCACTGCAGATGATGAGGTGGTTAAAATCAGTCACTTGCAATATCAGTTAGTGAGTCAGACATGATGAAAACTGTTGAAGCTCAGACCAACTTCACTTTCATACCAGACATATCATCTGGCGTCTCTGGTGGCAAGATCCTAAATCATAAGATTGTGTACAGGCAGTTTTGTTTTATAATATA